AGGAATGACAGTGGAGAGAAGTAGCAAGGGAAACATTTTGGTGCTCATCATCTGCCTGACCTTCATCCTATCCGAAGTGATGTGGGTGAAAGGGTTCCCTTAGTTTACCCGTCCTTCCACTTCAACCGTGATGCTATGCAATGCCAGGTGTAAAAAATAACAGTGTAGCATGGCTGAATTGCCAGAGGTGAGCACTGACCCTTAGGGTGATTGTCTTTGTACACCACAGCATTCATGTTGAGGTTTCCTCACCTGGCAAAGCACAACACTTCATAGTTTCTGCCTTGGGCAGGTTCCCTGGAGATGTGGCAAGGAAATACACTTAATAACAGTAATTAATAAACAGCAAACGTGCTTGAGACAAAGAGACAAGAGCATCTTATAGGACGTTTATGAGATCCTATGAGATGGCAGTCAAAGCTGCAAAGAGGGAGTTCTATGTGGCTATGATTGCGTCCGCGAGCTCATGCCCAGCCCAATTGTTTAGAACAATTCGGTCTATAGCAGCTCTGCCACAGGGCAGACCAAACGCTAGGAAATTGGATATTGGCTGTGAGGCATTTGCGAGCTATTTCGTGAATAATGGTGTTCCGCCGTGACCTCCCCACCATAGTTGAAACAGTGAGTGAACTTGAGGCCCCTTGCATGTCTTCAATTCCGGTTTTGGATTATTTCAGCCCGCTAAGCCTGAAGGAAGTCGACAGATTGCTTGGGACTATATGCCCAACCACGTGCAGCCTTGATCTATGCCCTTCCTGGCTTATCAAAGCTGGCCATGAAGGGTTCAGAGGTGCCGTTAGGGAAATTATCAACAAGTCCCTCTCTGAGGGACAGTTCCCGGGGCGCTCAAGGAAGCGATGGTCCACTCTCTTCCGAAAAAGCATCTCTGGATCCGGCCAAATTGGCCAACTATCAGCCAGTTTCCAATTTGCCCTATTTGGGCAAATTAATTGAGAGGGCAGTGGCGATACAGTTGCAGGGCTTTCTGGATGACACTTCCATACTAGACCCCTTCCAGTCCAGCTTCCACCCGGGACACGGGACAGAGACTGTGTTGGTCGCTCTGACGGATGACCTCCGGAGGCATCTGGATCAGGGCGGTTCGGTGGTATTGTTGCTGTTAGATCTGTCAGCCGCGTTTGACATGATCGACCATCAGCTGCCGACCCACCCCCTTGCCGACATAGGGATACAGGGGCTTGCCTTGCAATGGCTTGCTTCCTTTCTCCAGGGTCGGGGACAAAGGGTGGCACTAGGGGACCCTCAGTCCAGGAGACACTCACTGGAGTGTGGTGTGCTTCAAGGGGTAGTGCTGTCCCCAATGTTATTTAACATCTACATGTGCCCCCTTGCCCAGATTACCCGGAGGCATGGGCTGCAGTGCCAACAGTACGCTGATGACACCCAGCTCTATCTCATGTTGGGCGGCCAGTCAGACTCCAGACCGGAAGATCTGGACCGGGCATTGCAAGCCATGGCTGGTTGGCTTAAACTGAGCCGGCTGAAGCTGAACCCGGCAAAGACGGAGGTCCTGTGCCTGAGTTGGGGTGGTTCTGGGGTAGGGATCCGGCCTTTGGTGGGGCACCATTGGTGCCAGCGCCGGAGGTTAGGAGCTTGGGAGTACTTCTGGATACCTCCTTAACAATGGAGGCCCAGGTAGCAGTCACTGCTAAATTGGCCTTTTACCATCTTCAGATGATTCAGCAGTTGGTTCCCTTCCTCGGCCACAATGACCTGGCTACAGTGATCCATGCGATGGTCACCTTGAGATTAGACTACCATAACGCTCTTTACATGGGGCTTCCCTTGGCGCTAATCCAGAAGCTGCAGCTAGTGCAGAATGCCACGGCCAGGCTTCCGATGAGCCTTCCCAAATGGGAGCACATCCGGCCTGCGCTGAAGACACTGCACTGGCAGCCAATAGCATACCGAATCCGCTTCAAGGTGCTGGTACTTACCTTTAAAGCCCTATATGGCCAGGGTCCTGAGGGACCGTCTTTCCCCATATATACCCCAGAGAGCACTACGGTTGGGGTCACAACATCAACTGACCATTCCAGGCCCTAAAGACGCCAGGCTTGCTGCCACCAGGGCCAGGGCCTTTTCAGTGGCGGCTCCATACTGGTGGAATGAGCTCCCAGAAGAGATCAGGGCCCTGTGGGATCTTTTACAGTTCTGCAGGGCCTGCAAGACAGAGCTCTTCCACCAGACTTTCAATTAAGAGCCGCCACACCACTACCACCACCATCTGTGGTTATGGGCTGGCCCCAGCCTGGAGATTGAGCCATTACATCGTGCGATGCCGAAAGATCACTGACTTGGAAACAATTGCTTGTATACTATATAGTATGCCATCTTAATCACTAAAAGACGATTACTATCACTAGCACTTTGATTATCTGATCATTTTAAATGTTTAAAATGTTTTAACTTTTGTATATGGTTTTATGGTACCGACCACTGTAAGCAGCCCTGAGCCTGTTCGCAGGGAGGGCGGGGTATAAATTGAATGAATAAATAAATAAATAAAATAAAGCAATCATGGCAACTTTAGGATTGCCCTGGATATGGACCCAATGCATGAAAAAGTCTTATCCTAGATTTATAGTGCCATCCTAGGGAGCATTACATCTTTGTAAACTCCCCAGCTTAAATGGACTTAGACGAATGTAACTCTCTTTATGACTATGCTGCTTTTTGTATACTGAGCCAGTTTCTGTTAAGATGGCTGGTTTACTGAGGAACTGAAGAGTGAGGGAAGATGAATGCAGCTGACAAAAGAGATGTATTGATTTTTACTTAGATGTTTTATAGTATATATCCCTAAGAGTCAGCATTTTTTCTTTTTTTACAGAGAGAGGCAGTTCAGAAATGTTCAAATAAGCAAGATACCAATAAATTCTTGCTTAGCAATTTAACACTGGAAATGGTCAGCAATAGTGTCCTGGGAGACTGAAATATATTCCCACCAATTTCTCAGATTTTTTCCCCTCTAATAGAAGGCTACAGAATATCCCTGAGGAATTCGACTGAATTGACTGCAATATCTATATTTGTCCTACTACTTTTACAGTATGCCACTTGACTCAGCAGCAACAAATACCGCAAATGACACTGTCCCAGTACCCGGGACTGACATTTGTGGGGCTGTGCAAACTCTTTTGGAAGTGCCCTGGCTGTGTTTCAGATTCCAGGTTAAAAGGCCAGTGTTCCCTCAAATCTGAGTTAGTGTGAGCCAGCTCACAGTTTTTTAGCCTCCAGCTCACACATTTTTGTCTTAACTCAGGAAGGATGGCTCCAGAGCAAACCAATTTATGCAGTACCCAAATCGCCCGCTCACAACTTTAATGCCAGTAGCTCACAAAGTATAATTTTTGCTCACAAGACTCCAAAGCTTACAGGTGTCAGCGAGCTGCCATGGTGTTATGTGTTAGTTGTATCTCTGTACAGTTGCTAACCCCCCCCCTGCCTGTGCGCCTGTATTTTACTCTGCTGTAATGCCTAAGCCAAACAACTGGAGGATGTGATGGGGGAGTAAGCTTGACTGCCAGCTTGTTGCTTTTAGAGCCTGGGAACTGCACCTGTATTATGTCTGGAGATAGCCTGGTTCTCAGGGAATGAGCGCGCAACCGTTTCCTTTCACCCGCCAGCGGGAAAGTGACCCATTGGTTCTGTACCTGGTTCAAATCCCTTTATCATGTTTGCCCTAACCGTTTGTAGTCAGTTCTAACAAAGAACATGTTTGAGTGTCTTTCCAAAGCTTTGAAATAAATTTTGCTTTTCTTTAAAACGTGGATTTATTCTCGATGCTTGGGGATCCAACATATTGTTAGAACTCTCAATTTTCCTATTGTCCCGAATCTGACGTGATCATGAGCGGGGCA